AGCGGGGGCCCTCATGGGGCTCGGCAGTGGAGCTGCAAGGCCGGCGGTGGCGGCCGGGACCGTTGGGGACGGGGTGTGTGGCCTTATGACACACTTCCGGTGATGTCAGGGGGTGTGGCATATGCTAATAAGTTATGCTAATGAGTTCCCCTAGCTCTTTTTCTACAAAACGACCCCTGTGTGATGGTATTTATGAAACTATCACTCGCTGGAGATATAATGCAAAAAAAAGGCATAAAATATTTGGGACAGTAACCATGCTAGCCTTTATTAGAAAATATAGGGAAGCACCTAACAATTCATATGAGAAGAGCAGAGGACTCCCAGATCACAGGGCTTGGTCTCGAAGAATCATTTTGAAAGCCTTTAACTGTCTGGCGCCCTCGTACCCATGGGACTGCCTCTCCTGTTACAACCCCCCCCCCCCCCCCCCTCCCCCCCCTGTTCCACCCCCCCCCCCCCCCCGTGCTCTGGTCACTGTCTTGGGGCTTCTTGCAGGTGCCCAGCCCTAGGATGGCACAGTTGGCTGTCTCCGGGGGAAGGGCCTTCTCAGGTGTGGCCCCCTACCCTGTGGAATGCATTCTCGGATGACACCCCTGCCCTGCTGGACTTGTTTAGTTTCTGCAGGGCATGCAAAGGTGAATTAATTAATTAATTAATTGCTTCGATTGGCTTACATAAAATGCATACACACACACACACACACACACACACAGGGCTATTTTGGGGCAGGAACACACAGGAATGGAGTTCCGGCTGGCTCCCAAGTTGGCCACACCCAGCAGGAACTCATTAGCATAATAGGCCACACCCAACAGCAGAAACTCATTAGGATTGGCTACATTAGGGGTGTGTGGCCTAACATGCAAAGGGTTCCTGCTACAAAAAAAGCCCTGGGTTTTGACAACAAGGTAAACAAAAGGTGGGTGTGGCTGGATGACCACACTTCTGGCAACATGGGAGTGTGGCCTAATATGTTAATATGATGTGCTACCAGGGGTGTGGCCTAATATGCTAATAAGTTTCTGCTGTTGGGTGTGGCCTATTATGCTAATGAGTGCTTGCTGGGCTTTTTCTACCAAAAAAGCCACACACACACACACACACACACAACATACATAAACAATCAATTATTTATTTTCCTAAAGTACCGGATCAATTAAAATACAAGAGCAAAATTCCTAATTTAGAGCGTACCACTACTTTGGTGTTAGTCCTGATGGCATTCTCACAATGGCTTAGTTTGATTGACTGATTCGTGCAGCAAGCTAGGCTGCAGGTGGTAGAGCCAGGGCACAGGGTCACTCCTCGGTGTTTAAGGTGGCTCCTAATTGAAGATCTGGTGGAAGAGCTCCGTCTTACAGGCCCTGCGGAACTGTAAAAGGTCCCCGCAGGGCCCTGATCTCCTCTGGGAGCTCATTCCACCAGTATGGAGCCGCCACCGAGAAGGCCCTGGCTCTGGTTATTGCCAGCCTGACAGTCTTGGGGCCTGGGAGGGCCAGCCGGTTTTGGGCCCTTGAACGCAGTGCTCTCTGGGGAACAGAGAGGTTAGGTTGGCCTTTGAAGGGTAACCCCATGTTTGGGCTGTTTTAATAGTGGTACGGTGACAGCCACACATTTTAATATTTTAATGTTAATATATTATATTTGTTATTTGTTTCTACCGTATTGGTTGTCATGTTGTAAGTCACCACGAGACCCTTCAGGTGAGCGGCAACTAAAAACATCTAATAATTTTTTTTGAAATTATCATATCTAATTAAGAGGCAACCTAGACCGGCAGACGTCAATCAGTCCATACTACACAGTGATTGGATGGCCCCAAGGCGAATTACTGCTCATGGCACTCCGGTTGCTCAAGACACTACCAAAACGGAAACATGAAGAGGCAGCTACTAGCTCTCAAACCTCGCATGGGAGTAGAAGTGATCCCTTGTGCAAACGGGGGAGGAAGTGGGGGTAGATCAGGAAAAAATATTTTCAGACCCCAACATGTTGCAAATGAAAGTCTTTACAGAACATCAGTTATAGCTACAGGGCTTTTTTTGTAGAAAAAGCCCAGCAGGAACTCATTAGCATAATTGGCCACACCCAACAGCTGAAACTCATTACCATATTAGGCCACACCCCTGACAGCCCAGCCATGTTATCAGAAGTGTGGTCATCCAGCCACACCCACCTTTTGCTTCTTATTCTGTTTACCTTGTTTGTTGTCAAAACCCAGGGCTTTTTTTGTAGCAGGAACTCCTTTGCATGTTAGGCCACACACCCCTAATGTAGCCAATCCTAATGAGTTTCTGCTGTTGGGTGTGGCCTAATATGCTAATGAGTTCCTGCTGGGCGTGGCCAACTCGGGAGCCAGCCGGAACTCCGTTCCTGTGCGTTCCTGCTCAAAAATAGCCCTGGGCCTTTCTATTTTGAAAAAGGGATCATCACAAATAATCCACAATATCAAAAAATGATTTATTTTTTAATTATTTGTTCGATCTATGATTTGTTGTTTCTGAATTATCAAAAGCTATGTTTAATTAGGATAATAATTTCTGTACTTAATGTTAGATATGCACTTATGGTTTACCACAGTATTAATGGTATTTACGTGTATGTCAGAAAGTCATTGTACAAATATGATTTGTTGAAAAAATAAAACAATGTTAATTTTAAAAAGTCATAGTTGTCTATTATTTACATAGTGATTGGATTCTCTTACAGTCTATCAATTTCCCCATTTAGAGACATTTTCTTCTGAAAATCTAGCACTGGCAATGAGTTCAGTATTTGTGGGGTTTGGCCAGATAACTTCACTCTTTTCTTTTATTTTCCCATTCAATATGTTTAGCATTTCTAACTTAGAAATAAAGGATAAACAAAAGACAGCCTTATATTATTAGTTCGCAAGACACATGTATCTCAATAGGAGTAATATTTCCTCCTACCAACACTTAAATTTACATCTGGGAATCTGGATCAAGTCACTGAACATGATTCAAGAACAAATTATGTTGCCTCTCAATACACATTATGAATGCGTACCACATATCAAAAGGGCATGAAAATACATTTCACTACTCATAAACAAAATTGTTAGAACTATGAAAAATATGAAAGCCAGAAGGCTCTAAATAGCAGACATCTTTACTGATGGATCTGCCTGTCATACAATTTTTCACACAGAGAGAATGATTCATGGTCATTAAGCACCCTCTAGTGCCACAGAAGAAACATCTCGCAAAGCATTCCAGTGCCGACTTTTGTGCCTCGAACAACATGGGACGACAAGAGGAGGAGGAGACTGGATTTTACAAAGCCTAGTTTATATTCTACTCAAGAGCAACAAAGGAAGAACAGTTTTACATCTATCTATACACACACACACACACGGGCAAAGTGCATCCTTGAACAGAAAAATACCTGTTAAGTTTGTGCCATCTGAAGGATTCAGCGGTAACCAGTGGCACGCATCTGGATCAACAGATATATCGGCTGGCATGCTGGCATCATGGTCTTCTTCACATGCTTGCCAGGGGACTAGGGTGATGTCTACTTCACCGTTGTATCCAAAGGATGTGTCACTGCTCACACTTTCAGCTATGTAACCAAAGAATTAATAAATAATGGGGGGGGGGAATAATCCAGTGAAAAAGTAATTCTTTGGAACATGATAGTAATTTGTTGAAACAGAAATTATGTTTTTTTAATCAAAGATAAGAATTGACCCCCGTGTATTCTACACAACACTCCAGTACAGAAACAAACAACATACAGTTTACTGACACTCACTCTTTTCTCTTTCCTTGTGAGTCCCACACAACTGTTGCACATCAGTTTTGGGATCGAATTCGGCTGGACCATTCCCTGCCTGCATGCAAAATGTCAAGACCGAAAAACTCCTCTTTACTGCATGATTTAAAATCATTTTATTGCCAATTTATTTATTTAGAAAACTTATATGCCGCCTTCTCCACAGACAGCTCACCACTAAAATACAACAAAAGCAAACCATTAAAAACCACATAAAACACTGAGCAACTTAAAGTGACATTCATAAGAGAGACCTCAGACGACAAGCAGATCGCATATGGCCATATATCTGGAGGAATCCACCTTTTACTTCATCTCATCTTAATATCAGAGAAATTACTTACAAATGTTTCTGCAGGAAATCCAGCAGCAAGACTACAACATAATCCTATGTCAGCTTCAACATTATTTTGGAAAAACAGTTCTTACAGTATTCATTCAAATACAAGACTAGATTTTTTTCCCCGCAAAAAAAAGAGGGGATCATCTTACATTTGCATACAAGTTACAGTTGTGTCCAATAATTTTTTGGGGGAGTGTGTAACATTTTTAAGGGGATTGTCTTCCTTTCGAGTAAAGATGGTGCTAACATACCTGGTGTAAATAAATTTTAAGTTTCTTTAAAAAACAGCTTCAATAGATAGAATCTCTCAGTTAAAACCAAGGGGGGGGGCTGTCACCCCTTCAGAGAGTGTTCACCATAACTGAACGGGTGGGGGAACAGTCTCATTCCCATACTATTGAAAGCCCTTCCCTACAAGAAGCGTAAAGATAAGAAGGCATCTGAATGAAGATCTGAGATTTTTCTATGTTAAGCTTTATAGAATATATACTATTGCTCATATGTGCTATCATAATTAATTAATGTTTGTCTTTTTTATTTGAATACTTTATTTATTTATTTATTTATTTATTCGTTTGTTCGACTTTTATCCCGCCCTCCTGCCAAGGAGGATATACTGTAAGCATTAATTTGTAGGGAAGTATCTAAAGTGAAAGTTAGTTTATTACTGAGCCTTGCTTAGGGTTGCCAAACCTGTTTATTCCTGCGGCGGGGGGCTCCCGGACGGCGTCTCCTCTCCCCCCCATAGCCAGTCAGAACACAGAGGTTATTTGCATATGCAGCCTCATTGGCCTCTGCCTCGGAACACAGAGGTCGTTTGCATATGCGACTTGATTGGCTTTTGCCTCTAACATTCTAAACAGTTTGCTTTTCTGAGGTAAAATGTGTCCAAACTCCAGGTGAGGGCTGGAGATCACTCAGAATTACAACTGCTTTCCAGATGGCAGAGATCAGTTCCCCTGGAGAAAATGGTGGGCTGTGTATCCTTATATACTGCTGAGATGGCCCCCATATGACAGCCAATGTGACGTAGCAGTCAGGGCTTCAGAGGCTACAGGTGTGTGGGGGGTGGAAAGCTGAAGAGTGAGGGGGAAATAAAGGTAGGTTGATGATTGGCTAGGCAGGAGATAGGGTTGCCAACTCCAGGTGGGAAATTCCTGGAGATGTGAGGGATGGAGCCTGGAGAGGGTGAGGTTTCAGGAGGTATGGGACCTCGGATAGGCACAAAGCCATAGACTCCACCCTCCAAACCAACTATTCCCTTCTGGGGAACCATTGTTGCCAATCTCCAGGTGAGGGCTGGAGTTCACTCAAAATTTCAACTGCTCTTTAGGTAGCAGAGATCAGTTCCTCTGGAGAAAATGGTGGACTCAGTGTCATTATACCTTGCTGAGGTCGCCACAGCAAAATGACACTGAGTGTCCAAGGCCGGGGCACCCGCCCAGAGCCTCTTTCTAGAGGCCGTTGTATCTATTTCCACAACGGGCCTTTTCCCTAGTAGTATAAATAGTACTTAAATCTCTGGCCTGTTCTAAGCATACTTGTGGCAACTTTTAGAATGCAATAAAACACAAATAAGATGTATACAGTGTATATTAATTTCACTTACTTGTTGGGTGGAGCTTCCCTTAGTCACTGTCCCCTTAATTTCTTGAACGGACGGGGAATCTGAAGTTAAATTCTGCGAGCTTTCTGTTTTTCTAACTGTGAAGTTCAAAGTAAAATTTTAGAAGTGAAAAAGTGACGAAATGTATTTTATCTTTATGGAATATGCATAGCAACCATGCTGTTTTGTAAATTACACACTCACACTATGCACTCGACTATATAGCAAGCCCTTAAATTGGTAGAAAACCTGGAATCCAGACATAAGCACAAATACATTTGTTAATTTGGGGGTGGGGGAATGAATTAAATCTCAATTACATTGCAAAAATGTGTAAGACAATCTAGTATTTTGTGACTGATATTAATAGAAGGCTTCTCTGAAAAACTGATGACAGAATTGCAATTTTGTGCCATTCATTTAGCATAATAATTGGGAGTTAGTTTGGAACAACTGCAAATACAGCATTAAGTACGATGTACTCATTCAATGACGATTCAGTCTTTTGGGTAAATGCTCAATTTAGAAGTACTACAACTCTGCTCACTTGTAGAAACATGAGTTAACTTTTAAAAACCCTTCATAATCTAGGATACTCATATCTGTGGGACTCCCTCCACCCACATGTGATCACAACACAGTTCCGATCATTAGATGAGGCATTACTGGTGGTTCCTCCACACAGGATGGTGATGACTGGTTTAGCTGGAGTTTGTTGTGCTTTTTCCAGTGGGTTCCCAAGAATGTGAGGAAGGCTCCAAACATGCAGTTGTCAGACGCTCCATAAAACGGAGCTTTTCCACAGTGCTTTGAGTAGGTGTGCACATTCGGTAAAAACCAACTGAAGAAATACCCGAAAAACAACTTATCGGCATATCTCAGGTATTTACCGAGCCAAATACAGATCTGAGAATCTGACTTGGCTACCAATACAGCTGAGCCTGAATAAAATATGATATTATTTGGCTTTTATTTGGGTACTGGCAGAAGAGACTGTGATCTCTTTAAATGTCCTCTCCTCTCCTCTAAGCTACGCTGCCATGGCAGGACTCAGCGAGTGCACTCAGAAGGCATTTAAATGCCTTCTAAGTTCACTTGCCAAGTCACCCTGCCGCCGCCATGTTTGGAGAAGGCAACAGGCATTTAAAGAGGCCAGGGTCCCCATAGGGTATAATGGAGCTGAACATTTCTGGGCTTTCCAAAAGATTCCCAAATCTCAATGGCATACCGATACTGGGATTCGGGAATATCAGAAATACTGATTTTTTTTGGTTCAATATAACTGAAACCGGAAAATACCGATTATTTTTTTTTGCACACCCATACCTTCAAGTGGTATATGGAGATGATGGTGTATTTCCTTTTACTGTTACTTCTGTTGATGCAAGGTTGCATTTATTTTTAAATATGATGTCAAACACTTTGAGTCTCATTGTTCCAGAGGAAAGCAGGATATAAATATTTTTAACAAATGAAGAACTGACAACTTTAAAATGCACTTTTCTCAGTCTTGGTGAACCCAAAAACTCTCTCAGCAAGTCCCCCTTTATCTCTACTTAATTAATGGTACAACAAAGTAGAACCTCTTAGGCACAGTGCAAAATCAATAAAGGCATAAAAATACAGCACTTATTGCAGCAGGAGACAACGGCATTATGGAGCAAAAGGGTTTCTCCTCTGAGAGGCACTTAGATGGGATGCACAAGAAAGACAACTCCTATTATTCCTAAATTACCTTGGAAAATATCAGAACTGCACTCGTCTCTAATATCAGAGGCACTGCTGCTTCGAGTTAATTGTTGTTCCTGGTCTAAAAATGGGCCGTTGCATTCCACTCCTGCTAAACCTTCTGGCTGCTGATACTCCGTTCCTGTGCCATTTTCTGGTTGCGGATATTCTTCCACTTCTGCAGGTATTGGCACAAAAGTATTTTATTTATTTATTTTATTTATTTTTGAATTTATACTCCGCCCTCCCCAAAGGCTCAGGGTGGCTCACAAGGGGCAAAAATGCCCAAGATAAAACATTAAAACAGTACAGAATAATATAAGATACAACAATACAATTCACTAAAATTTGCTTTACGGTGCTCCAAAATTATTTAACTAAAATTATTAACCAGCAACAGTAATAACAATAAATATAGCAGCAACAATATACGTCCATACAGCGTTGACCTCTGCCAGGCACGTCTCGCACCCCCAATAGTCTCCGCTCTAAGGATGGTCAATTTGCGGGACTAGCGAGGGGGGCGTAGATAGAATGATGGTGACATAATGATGATGGCATAATGACGGTAGTGGCGGCGGCTCCTACTCAAAAGCCTGGCGGAAGAGCTCCGTTTTGCAGGCCCTGCGGAACTGCACCAAGTCTCGCAGGGCCCGGATCTCTTCTGGGAGCTCATTCCACCAGGTAGGAGCCGCCACCGAAAATGCCCTAGCCCTGGTAACCGCAAACTTGATGTTTCTGGGGCCTGGAATGTCCAGGAGATTTTGATTCCCCGACCATAGTGCCCTTGGGGGAACATGCGGGGGCAGGCGGTCCCTAAGGTAAGCCAGACCCTGACCATATTAAAACATTATACAGTCTCTAAAAAGGATCATGTTGAACATTCATAAGGGCACAAGGTATGCAAAGATTGTTAGGTCCCCCCCTGGCCACCAGCTGGGGATGGGGTTGTACGTTTGCCGGATCCAGGTTGGGAAACTCCTGAAGATTTGGGGATGGAGCCTGGGGAGGACACGGACCTCCGTGGGGCGCAATGCCACAGAGTCCACCCTCCAAAGTAGCCATTTTCTCCAGGGGAACTGATCTCTGCAGTCTGGAGATGAGCTGGAACTCCAGGGGAACCCCAGGTCCCACCTGGAGGCTGGCATTCTTACTGATCAACAGAGAAAACAGATCAAATATTAATTCATTTTTGGACCAATATGCACTTCTAGAGGCAAATGTGGGTCTGGGAAACCTCTGCCTTTTCTCCATTGCAAAGTGACGGAAAGGGGACTGTGGCATGTGGGGAAAGGGTTAAGATACTACATCCAAATCACTGTGCCTCCCAGCGAGTTACACTCCCTCCCTCCCTCTACTGGGTTTGTTGTTGTTCAGTCGCACAGTCGAGTCCGACTCTTTGCGACCCCATGGACCAGCTCCCGCCAGGCCTTCCGGTCTTCCACCATCCTCTGAAGTTTGCTCAACTTCATGCTCGTTGCATCTATGACACTGTCTAACCATCTCATCCTTTGCCGTCCCCGTCTTCTTTGACCTTCAATCTTTCCCAGCATCAGGGTCTTCTCCAGTGAGTGCTCCCTTCTCATTGGGTGGCCAAAGTAGTTGAGCTTCAGTTTCATTATCTGGCCTTCCAGGGAACAGTCAGGGTTGATTTCTTTGAGGACTGACTGATTTGTTCTTCTTGCAGGGTACTTAAGCAGAAATTTCACAAGCTGAGTTCCAATCACTAAACATAATATCTTGTTTGACTCTCCTACTAACTAGAGAGTTTGGAATTTTATATTACCAAATTCCAGCTTACTAGCTGGTGTGAAGTGCTCCAGCTATTCATTTAGTTTTGCATAACTATAATTGTACTTTTTAAACAATTTTATGGTAGATTCTGCACCTGCTGGTTGACCAGGGGGCGGGGCAGGATCCAAGCAGAGCACTGATGGGCAGTAAACAACAATTTGGGGGATATTTAAGTTGTTTATAGAGCATCTAGGACAATTTACTTCTCCAGACCGTTACTTCTGGCTGAATAGTCACATTAATATTATTCATGCTTTTTTTTTTTTACAATAATCCTGTTTACAAAGAGATGTTATGAATCTTGACTGATCTCTTTTCTGCCATAACTTCACCCCAATTTTTTTCAGCTTGGGGTCACACCTTAGCAGTTTACAGTGCTAGAGAATCCCGTCCCAGAGATGTAGCCCTAGTACTTTGGTACTACCACTACTCTGGGAAGACATCCACTATTTCAGCATCAACATGAGATAAGGAATATCCATTTACACCTGTTGCTCCTCACCTGTGTTCTACCTCTTTAGCATAGCTATTTTTGGAGACGGTACAAAACTGGGGATTTTTGGAAGTTAAAGCAAACAGTTTAGGTGTTTAGTGTACTTGGCAAACCCTTCCTTGGCTCTGTCAAATGTACCCTGCAAAGATGATGGGCCCTTTATTTCACATTCTCTTTGGAGAGGTTATGCTTGTTGGGCATGAAGTATTTATCTCTCCTAGTTCTTTTCCTTTGTTCTCCATAAGCTAGGCAAACTATGGTACTTTTTTTGGATTCCTGCATTTCATTCAACTGAGCAATCTCTGTTTTCTACCTTGCTCTATTACTTGCAACCAATGCTCCCTCTAAGCTGTGGAGTCTTGTGGGCAAAAATTCTGCTTCGTGAGCTCCTGGCATTAAAGTTGTGAGCGAGCGATTTGGCCACTGCATTAATCAGATTGCTCTGGAGCCATCCTTCCTGAGCTAAGACAAAAAACGTGTGAGCCGGAGGCTAAAAAACTGAGCTGGCTCACACTAACTCAGCTTAGAGGGAACACTGCTTGCCACTGCTTTCTACTCTTTGTTCTACTACAGTATAATTGTGTGCTAATAAAACCTTTCAATATAATTCCTAATTGTCACAGTCTTCATGGATAACTTGTGACCATGCCACGGAGTGGGGTGTTGACACAAAATTCAGGAATTAAGGCTGTGGAGTTACAATGTAATGGAATTGTTTTGCACCTCAACAGCAAAGGTGGCCTACTAAATTGCAGCAGATATAGCCAGCACTCTTAAACACCTCCACACATCTGCTTTTGGCAGCTGCTGGACAGTGCGATGCTTGCTTCCTGGGAATCCAAGGCCATTCCAGGCAACTAACCCCCCCGTTCTATATGTAATGGCTGACGGAATGCAGTTTCACTGTATCTGAGGAAGTGTGCATGCACACAAAAGCTGATACCATGAATAAAACTTTGTTGGTCTTAAAGGTGCCACAGGACTCAAAACTTTGTTCTACCCACAACATAAGTGAGCTTTGTGGATTGTACTTTGCTTTGGGAAGCTAAATATCCAGGAATGATAGCCAAAAAAAGCAAGTATTGAACATGCTATATAACAAAGATGGCACAAGAATCCTGAGAAGCATGGGTATGCATTGAGGATGGAATAGCACATCTCCATCACAGCGGTTTGCCTAAGGAGGGCAAATATGCAATACTCAGCAGCTACCGCATTTCTGATAAGCCACATTCTTCTCTTAAGTCTTGCAGTTGCAATCCATCAGCCATCAGTCCACATGGAACTTCTCAGGACACCAGTGTATCATGGGAAATCTCCCCACAACGTTAATGCCAAAGTCCTAACAGGGGGGGGGAGAGAGAGGTTGTTACAAACCACCCTAAGAATACTCGCAGAGCTAATGCTGTGTGTAAAGTACAAGAGGCGCTAAAAGGCCTCTGGAGAAGCTAACTTTGAGGAATTCTAGCACTGGGAATTTTAGATAAGAATGAATTTTATTGTTACGGCACCCAGCCAGCAATTTTAGATAATAAAAGGCTTTCTTTGAGACTGACCTTGGATATCATTGTCACCCAAAATATAGTGCTATAAATACTGGTGTGCAGAACTGTGCAGGTAAGACAGTACAAAACAGAATATTTAGAAGATGGCTGCTTTAAATATCATACCTGAAAGCGTGTGAGAATAAGAAGTGTAAGAGAGACCAGGTAAGAGAGAGCCCACAGTATGAAGGAGAAGAGGGACACTTTTAGTGGCAGACAAAGCCTCACAGAGATGTGTACAGTTGCTGATAGACTGGCTTCGCTTCGCTTCGCAGGGAAACATAAATTAACAAGAAAGTTGTCAGAGACGTTAACAAAATAGGTCATAGTCATGGTTACTGCATAACAATAAAAGAGGGGAAATGCCTTAAACATGAATTCCTATGTACCCAGTGTATTGTTCTTCTTTTACAATAAATTGACTAACCAATAGTAGTCCAGTTTGATTGATAAGATTATTGATTTTTCCACTGAAAATGCTACTTTACAAAAAAATCCAGTTTACTGAATATTTCCAAAGCTAAAGTTTAAGTTATTCTAAGCTTTTGAAGTTGCTAGCTGCAAAGATCATATACCTGCATAAAACATTCGTTAACCTCGTTTCTCTTTGGCACAGTATATCTGTGTCTGCTGCTTCTACTAGAATTATATCCTTAGCCCAAATACTGGGTTACAATGAAGCAAATGGGCTACAATATCCCCCAGAGACATGTGGCTGTCTGCAGGAAGATGGCGACAATACAGGACAACAGTGGAACCAGAAAAAACAAACTGTGGAAAAAGGGCCAAAGGAGAGCATTTAACCAAGAAATTTTACTACTTCTGTTTAGATTATTAAACATATTTTCTTAGAACTTAACTGTTTTAATTGAAAAAGGACAAGTGTGTTAAAAATTAAATTAAGATAATAATAACCTTAATAAAAAAATAGTTTAAAAATAAAATTTAATTTAAATAATAATAATAACCTTAACAAAAATAAAATAATAAAAAACATTATTTTCAGATGTAATTGTAATTGCTATTTAAAATGCAAGTCCATTTTCCAAATAAGAGAAGAAGAAATTGGATTTATACCCCGGCCTTCACTACCCAAAGGAGTACAATTTACAATCTCCTTCCCCTTCCCCTCCCCACAATAGACACGAGGTAGGTGGGGCTGAGAGCTCTTTCGAGAACTGCTCTTTCGAGAACAGCTCTGAAAGAACTAGTTAATTGACCCAAGGTCACACCAGCAGCTGTATGTAGAGGAGTAGGGAATGAAACCCGGTTCTTCCAGATTTGAGTCTACGCTCCTAACCACTACACCAAACTGGCTCTCCTTTGATAATGCCTTTGAGAAGTAGGGTTTGTGCAGGTAAAGAGGCGTTTTTGCGACTGCACAAGAGACAGAAACTCAACAGCTGAGGCTTTTCTTAGCATGGATTCCTCAGCTAGGAAAAGGGAGCAGTATAAGTGGCCATATCAAGTTAGAATCATGCCATTCCAAGAGCGATGACCCAATGGCTTGAGCAGCTCCACCATTCTATACAACCACAATGGCGTGGCCAGCACAGGGGCTTGTGAATGCTGGATGCCGCTGGAGTTTGGAAAGAAAGCAGAAAATGGAGAGGAGAGCCACAGTCCAAGCTGCACTGGAAGGTTGGGGAGGATCCACATACACAAGATCACATCCAGTTAAATATTTTAAAAGGACAACTATTTTTGCATCTGCACGCACAAAACTACATTTTAAGACACTCTCAACCATTTATTTTAGTAGAAAATGTACCGGCCACCTCTCTAGAGCCCTGCTCAAGGAGACAAGGTCTCTCAGAAGGCAAAGCCAGGGCCACGAATTACCACCGAGAGGCCACAGGAAACTGGGATGGCCCCTCGTAATAAGAGGGCCCCCTGGTAGGTGTGCGTTGAGCAACACGGTACAGAATCATCAGGCACACATTTACCTCTTAGTCCTGCTGCATTCAGATCTCTGAAGAAACCGAAGTGGCTTGGAGAGTGTGGACTAGAAAGCTCCAAGCCTAGAAGGACGGCTGGTATGGCAGTAAGCAGAAAGTTTAAGCAGGGCATGGGGCAAAGGGAGAAGAGAGAGATCTTGGATTAATTGCAGCTGAAAAGGAGGAGAGGAACCATTGGGACCGCAACCAGGGCAAAATTCCCGCTTGCGCCAGAGCTTTTGCACAAGTGGAAACGCGAAGGAAAAGTCGGCAGTAGCCACTTGCACTATGTCAGACTTACTGCACCTCCACTTGCATTTCTGCCTGCACAAGATCTTGTGCAAGTAGGGCTCTACTGGTAGCAGGAGCTCCTTTGCATATTAGGCCACACACCCCTAGTGTAGCCAATCCTCCAAGAGCTTACAGTAGCCCCAGTAAGAAGAGCTCTGTAAGCTCTTGGAGGATTGGCTACACTAGGGGGTGTGTGGCCTAATATGCAAAGGAGCTCCTGCTACCAGTAGAGCAAACAATTTTTGGGCACTGTAATATATAAGGAGGAAAGCGCTAGGTGTTGCACAAGACCTTGCACAAATGGATTGATGTTTCTGCTAGTGCATCACTGGATCCAAGCCATCGTTCGGGACTGGCATCTTGGCAGGTGTTAGCTCTCCCTCCGGTCCTAGCATCTCCCGAAACATCACGAAGCCAAACATTCCAAACTTTACAGAGATGGTGGTCCTAGTTATAATAATAATCTTTCGATTTATTAATCGCTCAATCCTGCAGAGCTGCTGGCTCTGAGTGATTTACAGTTACTCAAATACACACGGGACTAACAATGATTCAAAGGGGTAAGGGAGGACAACATATAAATCTTTAAATCACACACGTTCGCAGCCGACGGGGAGTTTGTTCAGCAGTAAGGTCAGACATGTTCCAACGGCCGTTTGTTGTCAGCTTTTCTCCAGGACTGCTTCAGTTGCAGCGCAGCAATGCCACCGTCTGGTCGGACGGCCCATTACAGGCTTTCTTGATGCCGAAGAGTTCTTTCTGGCTTTCGATCTTTACAAGCTGGACTTTCCGTTCGCCGGCTAACACCTCCCCCACTGGGGGGGGGGGTTTAGTGTGCCCACCCTCTCTAAGGAGTGGTACCCATTTTATCTACTCGCCAAAGCTTTCGAACCGCTGGGTGGATGGCAAGCTGGGGACAAGGCTGGTAGCTCACACCAGCACGGGGCTAAAAATGACAGTAGTTCTGTTCAGCTCAGATGTTTTAACCAGAGGATAAATCCCCTGTGCCACCGGTCCCGAGTTTCATTCTCATGCTCTCTGAATTTTGGGAGGGCATGCAAGGGTCTCCTGGAGAGTAAAGGCCAGGCTAGTAAGTTAGATCACATTTCAAACAGCAGGAGTCGGAGGTCTGATACCCCATCAATTGGTTTGGAAGTCGGGTGATGCTGAGGCGGAGGGGGGGCCATCAATTGATACCCCATCAATTGGTTTGGAAATCGGGTGATGCTGAGGCGGAGGGGGAGCGCCTCTTCCCGTACCCTCACTGACCTTCCCAACAAGGAAAATGATGTGGGGGAAATGTGCTCACTTTCAGATCATGCACAGTAATACTGGCCCGACTGACAAGAATGCAACATGAAGTGCTCCAAACAGCCAAAACCGTTATTCAAGCAAAGCATCACTTTTATTGCGAAACGATATTGTCACAGCCAATTTGCACCGTGGCAGATTACAAAACACAAAGGTAGTAATGTGGGTGACGAATGCACTGATGCTGCATTTGACAGGATTACTAGACAAGTGACAGTTTTAGGATATATTCCAGAGCGGAAGGGGAGTTAAGTCTGCCCACAGGAAATCCAAAAAAGTTTTGTGCCACCTTTTAACAGATTTGCAGGGGCACTTGTGGATATGGCATTTCATTGATCACAGTGCGTATCTGGCGTACATTTGCACTTTGCATCAAAACACCACAGGCACCAGGCCAAAGCAGATTACCAGCTTACCCAGTGGAAGGGTCTTTCTGGTCATCTGTCATTTTATCTGCTTTTGTTGGCATCCAAAAATAAGTTTGGAACAGCTGTCAACAAACGGCAATGAGCCCCATGAACAGCATGGAAATTCAGTTTCTTTTATACAGAGAACAAAACATTGGACTTATCATGAAGGTTTCTTCTCAGCAGTGGACTGGAGGATAACCTTGTATGGCCTTGCTCTGACAGGCAGGGCACATGCACATTTTTTGCAAAGGCTTCCAACTATCCCAAGAATGTGCTCATCTCCCCAGTTTATGTCTTGCCAAGCTCCTGATGGAGACAGATCCTCCAATGTCACAATCGCTTGAGAGAGAATTCTCCCTGAAGACCTGTGAGTGGAGATACTGTAAGGACCCATATATTTCTTTGTTGTTGTTCAGTCGCACAGTCGAGTCCGACTCTTCGCGACCCCATGGACCAGCTCCCGCCAGGCCTTTTGGTCTTCCACCGTCCTCTGAAGTGTGCTCAATTTCATGTTCGTTGCAACTATGACACTGTCTAACCATCTCATCCTTTGCCGTCCCCGTCTTCTTTGACCTTCAATCTTTCCCAGCATCAGGGTCTTCTCCAGTGAGTGCTCCCTTCTCATTTGGTGGCCAAAGTATTTGAGCTTAAGTTTCATTATCTGGCCTTCCAGGGAACAGTCAGGGTTGATTTCTTTTAGGATTGACTGATTTGTTCTTCTTGCAGTCCAAGGGACTTTCAAGAGTCTTCTCTAGCACCATAGTTCAAAAGAATCTATTCTTTGGCGCTCGGCCTTCCTTATAGTCCAACTCTCGCAGCCATACATATATTTCTACTTGGTCACAAATGAAAACCATGGGAATTGATTTGGTCTCCCTGTACAATTGTGGTGAAACAGCTATTTGCGGGTGGTACGGAGGAGGATTTGAGATATGGAAGCCCAAACAATTAATGCTGGGAGCTGTGGAGTCTGTTCTCCACGCTCCCTTGACCTTCCCCCCCCCCAAGCCTCTTAGGCTCTGTACATCTCTAATCTAACAATCCCGCTTTGTCGGCGGGTTTTTCTGCTTGCGAGATTCAATCTTTCCCCCTCAGCTGTTGTTTTAGGCAGATATAGGGGTATCCCCTATAGGGACAGAACCTGCAATTGTCTCTATAGTGAACCTGATTCAGTTGCTCAATAATCTACTATGCGTAGCGATCTGATTAGTCCCCACTTACCTACCACAAGGAACCCGACTGACAATGATCTTAAAATTTTATTGTCTGATAAGTCCCCGGCAGTTACTTTGTCTGTTGCCGAATTCTTAGCCTATGT